AAATCCAAACCCAAAACTTTCTACTTTGCACAGCTGTGACATCACCCAATACTCTGAAGCCAATTATGCCAGGAATTTGGAGGAAGTAGGAAGAGTGGAGACCAAATTAGGGTTGGTACAGAGAGATTAAGATTATTTAGCTGCTATAGTCCTTTGCCATAGGATTCTATGAATGGATTCTTGGGTTAGCTTGGGCTCAAATTCCAAGTCAAGCCTAATGGCTATAAATTTGTGCAACATACCAAGCCTACTGGGCTTTTTAAAAAAATGTTTATTTATTTTTAGAGAGGGGAAAGTGAGGAAGAGAGCGAGAGAAACATGGATTAGTTGCCTCTTGCACATGCCTTGACCAGGGACCAGACATGCAACCCAAGCATATGCCCTGACCTGAATGGAACCTTTCGCCTTGCTGGACTCCCACCTAACTGAGAAACACCAGTCAGGGCACCTACTGGGCTTTTATTCTTTCATTTTATGAGGGAGTATCCCCCACTTCAAATGGAATTATCTTCTGGAGAGCGGAATCCTTGTAGTACTGGCTTCCCCCACTAGGTGAGTGTTCAAGGGACCCACCTGTATCAGTGTACCAGCTGGTGTTGGTGCAAGAGGCTGTATTTAGCTTCAGTGAATTTTTTTTAAGACTTTCAGCACATTTACCCATTTCAAGATGGGTGATTTATGGGTGTACCTGCCCACACTGCACTGAATGTTCAGCAGTTTTTGACCAAAAGGCATGACCCCCGTATACTGTCCCCCCTCTTCACCCAGTGTAGCCTCAAGTGACTTTTTTTTGTTTCCCTGGATTAAAAATTTTCCTCAAAGGGAACTGTTTTGCTGATGTGAAAGAGGTGAAATAAAAAAAACAGCATAAGCACTAAAAGGCATAAAAATCAACAAGTTCAAAAACTTGTTTTCAGTAGTGGAAAAAAGGTCTATATAGGTGTATTGCATCAAATAGAGAGTACTTTGCAGGTGACTGAAATTTGAGCATGTAAGAATAGACACACGATTTTTCATAAATACATTTCAGGTTTTTTGTGGGGGTCCCCCCCATTGTAAAGTGAGGATAATAGTGCTAATTCATTGGGGCTATTGTGAAAATTTAAAAAAGATAATCTATGTAAAGTTCCTAAATAATTTCTGATATATAATAAGCCCTTATGAAACATTATATAATGTTGTCAATATTAAACTATGATTTAGCCATTTTACAAACTGTTTCTTATGACTAGGGCTGTTTCTTATCACCAAAACCCTTCTATCACAGGTTTTTCACTTTTTCCCCTATATCTGAATCTTCATCAGGTTTCCTTATTTCTTCTCCTATAGGAATCAGACTTGGTTTTTCTGTCTGTCTGAAAATTAGTACTGCTTTTGAGCAACAGGCTTGGAGCAACACCTCTACTACTTGTTTGCCTCTTTCTCACCCTGTCTGCCAGCTGTCAGTATATAGCCTGACTCTTAGAATAGCATCAATTCCCCTGTGCTCTGGTTCCTGACACCTGTCAGGAACCACCTGTAAATCGTCTCATTACTATGTTTCTGATAGCCACCTGTCAATCATCTCATTACTATGTTTCTGCCTATTTGCTATGTGATTATTATTTTTGATCAAAAAAGTCAATTCAAGAGTAAGCCATTTTAAAGATTAATTATATACCTTCTGGAAAGGGTTTATAATTGACCCAAGTTCTCTCACTCTCTTTTTCTCACTCTCTCACTCTCTAAGCTTCTTCCTCTTGCTGGATTCCAATATCATGGGCGAGTCTTTCTGCCTGCAGACCAAGCCTTACAACATAGTTCTAGGACGTATGTCCCTGTAATAAATGTGAAGATAATAGATAACTATATGTAAACTGGGTGGCACATAGTAGGTATTCTGTTAATTTTATTACCTCCTCTTATTATCCTTGTGGCTGCTTCAGACTTGAGTAAAGAAAGAGCTTAGTACTAGGTACAGGTTAACATGGTACCAGAAAAAAAAAGTTACCTTCTATAAAATAAGCATGCTATTAATGTTTTTAAAATGTTTTAAATTAGTCTAGAATTTAAAATAAGGAATTCAGGAAGGGGTAAGTAAAAAAAACCTTAAACCTACACATTGATATCATCTTGGAGAAATATGCCTGCTGAGGAGGAAAAGAATCTAAACAATAAGAGGAAAATGTGGTTCCCCAGTCTTCCTGCCAGCTCATACTTGCTTGAATTCAAGGAGAAAACTACCTACAAAATAAATAAATCCCAAAAGTGTCTGATCTCTGCCTTACTTTCTCCCACCTCCGTGTAACCTTCCTTAGTTGTCTCCTTGATTTCAAAAGCATAAAAGGAGCTGCAAAATTGTTCTCCAAAGCATTTGCGATCTTGCTCCCAAGCATATGGCGTCAGTTGGTTCAAATAAACTCATAAAAATTCTCTACATGTTTGGATGTTTTTACATCAACAAGAGGCAGGATGAATAGGTGGAGCACGAGGTTTATTAGACGGGAGGAACTATTCTGTGATACCATAATGGTGGACACGTAATATTATGCATTTGTCCATAATGATAGAGCTGTGCAAAACAAAAAGTGAGTCCCAATGTAAACTATGGACTTTGTTTAATACTAATGTATCAATATTGGCTCTTCAATTCTAGCAAATGTATCACATTAACCCAAGATGTTAATGAATGGGGGGAAATGTACAGGGGAGACATTTTTTTATACTAGCTTCTCAAATATTTGTACATTTAAAATGTTCTAAAAATAAACTTTTTAATAATAATAATTTTAAAAGTGCTCAGTCAGCCTGTCACTTATTTTTTCACTATGATATGAAAATCTTGTCATTTATAAAACAAAAGCTAGGCTCCTTAAACTTGGCTCAAGAGAACTGTGTGTGATACAGAAGGAAAAGAAAAAGCTTGATGGTCAGTAGTAAGGAACAACCATTGTCTTGGAAACACTTTTAGACATGCTAATTTCACACTTATTTCGAATGTTTTAACATATGACAGCAGTGGTATGACAGGGGTGATAGCAAATCCAGGTCACTTCTAAGGAACCGAGATAAACATTTCTACAAGTAGGTGTTTATCTAGAATTTTTTTCCTGGAGTGAGGGTACAAAGGAGGAAAGGTCAGACCGATAACACAAACATTTTGTAATTTTTTTGTACTTATTGCTCATGGAGAAGAACGAAGGTTAAGCTGGCTATTTTGCCTATGGTTTTATTTTTATTAGCAAGTCATCCTCATTATTTAGAAGATTCTCTAAGGATAAAGGTGTTTTGGCCATTGGTGGTGGGCAGCATCACAAGATTTAAAGTGTTGGTAATATCCCATCAGCCAGGTGCTTATAGTTGAAAGAGAAGATAAAAATGGTCAGAAGGTTGAACTATTCAAATTAGCTTGTGGTCACACCCTGACATTTTGGGTGAAAAAATATTTTTGGTAAGCAAAAAGGAAACCTCACCAATGCTCACAATTAAAGAAAGACTGATCATTAAAAAAAATAAGCTATGCAACATGGTCAAAAATTATAGTCCATAATATTATATTTGCATATTTGAAGATTAAATGTTCTTAATACATTTCATTATACACAAATAAAAATAAATTAAAATGACCAACTACTAAAACCAAATTATTTAAAATGTAAACTTGAGTTCCTGGGTTCTCATGCTTCACCTTCACTTTTATTATGAGATGCCCTGTCTCTCAGAAACCACTTCACTATTCTTTTTCACTTTGGGTAGGGTTGGATAGTAATGCCTTCTATAACCAACAACTATAGTTCTCTTAATTTCTTTTCTTTTTTCAACACTTCAACAACTTGTATTTCATTAGTATACAGGGTCTGGCAGCAATAATGCCATTGCGTGTAGTTGGTAGGGTACGTGAATGTCTCACAGGGGGTGGACAGCCATTTGAACATTTCACCTAAAATGTCAGATGGTGTTATGTTACAGAATTACATGTTTATGATTTTGTAATAAAAGATTTTTATGTAATAAAAAGAGGAGGTTATTTGTGCCAGATCCTGTATTTTCAGTCCCTAGATCCCAGATGCCATGAAATGTATTAATTACAGAGCAAGACCCTATTATTAAGCTATCTACAGTCTAATAAGGTGTTTTTTTTTCAACCCCTTCATAAAGAAGGCGGAGAAGTAAACTTTAACTTTACCACAGTGGAATACGGCTCATTTATAGCAAGTACAGGGTTTGAAGATCATTCAATGGAATATTCAGTCTTACAAGAGTCACCAAAGGCCTTCCAAAGGAAGTGAAATCTAATGAAAGATTGAGAAACAAATGAGAACTAATCAGGTTTGGAACTGAGTTGGAGGTTTTGATGGGGATGGAGGTGTGGTAGTGAGGGAAAATTTTGTCACCTAATGACAGAGTAGGTACAGAGATGTGAAAAGAAATGTGTAGAATGCAGATTCCAAAAACACTTGGCATTTTACTTTTCTCATCTTTTTATTTAAATTCCGATGATGTCAAATGGATAACTTGACGTGGAAACTGCACGATAAATCTTGTATTAAGCCTGTGATCAAGAGCAGAGAAAAGTGAGATTTTAAAAATAATAAGCTAAAGGTGTATGATGTTTACATGCTTTCTTTAGCTGTCATCTGGTTTTGATTTTCAGGGCTGCTTAGGACTATAGGCAAACATTTTAAATAGAAGATATTTTCCAATTGACTTATTAGGACACAACCAAGTACTATAAAGCTTTCTTTGACAGGTTTTGGTAAAACGAGTTGGTCTCCTGATCCAGGGTCCTCACAGCCTTCCTGTTTCTTCCCTGTCATTTTTTCCTCTCCTTTCACTCCTCCAGCAAATTTATACTTTGAAGGTAAACCTTAACAATTTTATTATTCATCAGTGAGTGAGTAAGGTTTTCTTCTCAAGCTCTGGTGTATTTTGCTCGAGCTTTCTCCCTTATTTTCCCCTTCATTTGCTGTTCCTCCCTCTCCCCAACCCACTGATGGACTTTGGCAAATCTAAGAATTTGATTATGAGCCAAGATGGAAAAATAACGGCAGAAGCAGTCGACATCTCTGCATGAATGAACATGACTGTGTGTGGCTGACTGCATTTGCAGGTATGGATCTGTATTTGTGTTACTCCATTGCATCACAGACTCTGGAAAGCCAAGCCCACAAGTTAATCTCCACCTCCTTCTCTGGCATTAGGAATAAAAGCTCCTCAGAAACATTCCAGATGCACACACAACTCATTTTTTTTTTGCAGCCTAAAACCTGAATGGGGATTTGAGGAAAACTACACTGAATCACCCAGCTTCCTTCACAGGATCATCTGGACAGGTTGTATTTTTAATATTATTATAAAGCTGTTAAAAAAAGAAATATAGAAAGAATAAAGTCTTTATCAATACTTTAGTCACTTTGTAATGTAAAGCATTTAGAGTCTTTTTAAATCCTGTGTGTCAATAAAAATAGCATCTTGCATTTATGTAGTGCTTTTCTATTTTAAGAACTTTAACATAAATGACAGTATCATAGTTACTTTGTAAGACCTGCTCACTAGATATATTCTCCATTTTACTTATGAAGAAATAAACATAAGTGAGGTAGAAACACAGTGGAGACTGACTTCTAGTCTGATGTTTACTTGTGTGAAATATACCAGAAACAGTCTGTTACTACCATGGATGTTGCAAATAGTAGTGTTACTGTTAAGAAAGAGACATCAGATAAATACAACAAAATACAGGTCCTTGGGCAAGTATTAACAGGAAGTTCATTAGCAGGCTAGCACCTATTTTATCTAGGAGTCTTTAATGAAAACTAGAGAAACCAGAGAGACTTGAACTAACAAGTAAGTTTAATAAGTATTTTTGAGCATCTACTTTGTGACACAGTGCTGGGGCCTGCGATAGAATTGTGTACAAAGGATGTTCTCTGCTTTTAGACATTTTACCTAAAAGTAGGTAAGTCTGAGATGGTGAGGACTGAGTGAGTCCTATGCATATACTCCCAGCGGTTCACACTGTTCTGGGGGGTGCACTCACCCCCCAGTAAGCACTCACACAGAGAGTATCTGCCGAATGAAAGGCAGATTGGGGGATGGAGAAGGATAGGCCAAACAAAGGAATTAAAAAAGAGGCAGGAAACAAGAAATAGAGAAAGAAGAAAAAATCTTTCTGAATTCAATTTAATTTATGAATTAGAGTTTTAATTTTTTGTGTGTTTTTTTTGCTGGTGTTTCTAGACAACAGTAATCTACATACTTACTTATAAAATAAAACTGACCATTTCTAATTAAAACTGATCTTTTGAGAAAGAACAGATTAGCTAGAAGGTGTGTCCATACATTGTGAGACACACCTTCTCATATCACCTTCATATACATTGTGATATGAGATAATTTACCAAAAGTAGTGAAACAAAGAGATTTTATTATACACCATTTAGTTTAATCCTGAGTCCAGAATTGATCATGAAGGGTCCACCAGAAGTTAAACAACTCTTCAATAATAAATCAGCTACTCCCAGCTGACTATAGGCCAATTCTTTCACATTTGACAGAACACCAAGAAAGTTGTTCACATGAATAAACAAATTAGTAGGCAGGGCAAGCGTGGCCTTTTATACACACTTCTTCCAGTGAAAGGTCTATTTTCTGAGAGCAAGGGAAGGTTTGGAGAACAAGCTGATTTATTAACAAGACTGGTTCTAATAAAAATATCATAATTTTGGTGAGATTACATCTGATATATCTGAGAGGGACGTTTTGAGAGAGTTGAGTTTACCTTTATGGACTGTTTTTTTTTTTCCCTCTTTTTGGTAAGCACAACCATGAGTAGTATTGTTTTGTGGTTTACCAAACCCGTGTTAAGCCACTCTCTGATTAAAACGAACAAAAGAAAAACTCTTACATTGTGTCTCTCTTTTGTTGTGCAATCTGGGGACCAAATGGAATGAATGTCATACTAGGTTGTACCAGAGAACTTCAGACAAGTAAACAGGGACAAAATTCAAAATTTATATTACACATTTATAGTATTTACCCTCATCAGTAGAAAACATATCCCTGACTCTGATTTTCTTCAGCTAACTTTCTGTTTACATTCTTAGGAATTTTTTGACAATAAATATTTTTCTTGCTTTGAACAGATATTAGTATGTAATATGTACTATTACTGGGAATGTCCAAGTGTCTAGTTCTTCTACTTTATCATATAGACGTGCCATAATAACAATAAAAGCTCATACTTATTAAACATTTGTAATTGGCCAGGACTATACTTTAATTGAATTCCCAATAATTGTTTTGCACAAGTATAATTATTAACATCCTCAATTTGTAGATGAGAAAATGGAGCACAGTCAAGTTAATTTGCCAAGATTATACAATTTCAATGAACAAATCTAAGATTTAAACCAAGGTGTTTTAAAGCTCATATTCTTACCTATTTTCTCTACTATGCACACATTAATCATCTAAATTAATATGTCTATAAACTTTTAACATGTATGTGTTTTTCATTATATGTGCACCTTTAAATACTTAGGTAACCATACCAATCATAAGGCAAACATTGAACACACTTTATTATATGGACAATAAAATTCGATACAACAATATTACAAAAGTAGAAAAAACATATTTTTGATATATAAATCAATGATAAATTACTAACTATAAATCAGGAAAAAGCAATAATCCTGGTGGGCAAAATGGATCAAAATAATTAAAATAACCAATAAACTTACAAAATGTGAAAATACAAAAAAATTACAAAATATCTATAAAGTACAGATTTAGAAATATATATTCAATTATGAAAGATTACCACAAATAATTTCCAGTGCTGGTGAGGATATGAGAAAATAAGGAATTTCATATACTGTGCAAATTTGCACACTATTTCAGTGATTTGTTAAAAATATTTATCATTAGAAAACTCTACTTGAACCACAATTTAAAAATAAACTTAGAAAAGGAAGCAAGAAAGAATATTTATCAATACTTTACACATGTATAACTTTTATTTTGGCATTCCCAATATCACTGCAAAGATAAGTGTAAAAATACAGATTCTCAAAGACATTCATTAAAGTACTACTTCAAAAAATTGGGAAAAACAAATTTCCATCAATAAAGAATTGTATCATCTATGTTACATCCATACTATGGACTACTATGTGTCATTTATAAGAATAAAAACAGAATTTATGTATCTACACCAAAATATGTTCACATTATATAGTTCAATGTAAGAATAGATTACAAGCCCTGGATGGTGTGGTTCAGTGGATTGAGTGCTGGCCTGCTAACCAAACTGTTGCTGGCTTGATCCCCAGTCCAGGCACATGCCTGGGTTGCAGGCCAGGTCCCCGGTAGGGGTGCGTGCAAGGCAGCCACACATTGATGTTTCTCTTCCTCTCTTTCTCCCTCCCTTCCTCTCTCTAAAAATAAATAAATAAAATATTTAAAAATAATTTAAAAATAGATTACAAATAAAAGTAAAATATAATAGAAAATATATGCATAAGTATATTTCAATATATATTTGGAAGCACAACTGCAATACTACTAAGAGTGATTTTTTTCTTAAGAGTAATATAGAGAAGATACTTTCTTTTTTCTCTCTTGTTCCATTTTTCAACAATCATTTAAAAATAGTATATTTATATGCACATTTACATGTATGCATAAATATATGCATATTTATCCTTCCTTGTGTAAGACAAATATGGTTCCATCTTCAAGGAGTGTCATGCAAGATGAAAGAAACCTAATAATGATGTCTGTTTTTACATAGAAACTTGTGGCTTGTAAATACAATTTTAAAATAAAATATTTTAAGTCTGACACAACATAAGTAAATAACATTCATTTTCCTTCCTCTGGTGGTTACAGAGAAAGGATATATGAACTTCTTACAGGAAGGCCAATGGGAAGGCTATTTATATATGTTAAATCAATAGTTGGAGAAGATCCTAACTAGGGTAGTGACCAAACAATAGGAAAAGAGGAAAATAACAAAGATAGAATCAATGGAATTTAGTGTCAGATGCTGGTGACCAAAGATTAGGAGGCAACATCTGAAAGTTTTCATCTGTAACGTGCAGCCTAGAAATGTACCAGAAAAAGCATACAGCGTAAGTCTACGGTCTAGTTATTTGGTTTGATTTGTAGAACACTTATTTTTCTAAAATTTCTCCACCATATGTTTCGTATCTACAATTTCATTTCTTCTTTACGATACATTTCTCATGGATTGGGACTCTCTGTTAAGAGGAACATATTGGGTGGCTAAAAGAACTACTGCCTCCTGTTGTAATACAAACTCTCTGACAAACACAGTAAAAGCTACAGTGTTCACAAATCTATGAGTGTATAACAACCTACTAGGCAGCTTTTGGAGCAAAAGTGAATTAAATAGAGATCTAGAAACACTAACGTCAAAGAAGGATAAAATTATTTGAGATGCTAAGTAAAAAACTCAAAATGGAGAAATTTGTGGGAAAAATGGTAGTGAAAGAAGTTGAAAACCAATGAAAGAAAATTTACGTGAAAACTCTGTGACTGACCCTGAACATGACATGAGCTGTTGTGGGATCAGGAGATGAATTATTAAATGATTACCATTAGGTTTAACCTTAAAACTTTCAGACAAATCACTCAGTGGGAGTGTCCACTACTATAGTAATAATTAAATGAGACAGAAAAGTAAAGGTAAGGTCAAAGGTCACAGAAGAACCTTCTATACCCTCAAGAATTATGTCTTAGGTATCCACTACAATGTTATTAATTTAATCTTTTTTATTTTTTCCAAAAAGATATAAATTATATAATTCTGCTTACAGTTTTTAACAGTTATTTAGTTGTAACTCACATAGTGTTTTAGTGACTCTTTAGAACATGGCTCATTTCTTTCTTGCACAAAATGGAAAACAGACCTGATTTTGATGTACAAGACTATACTAGACAAGAAATGATGTACAAGGAACTGGACACTAAACCTACTCACTCATGAAGGAACAAATAGCAATGTCTTTCCTTTTTTTGCAAGTATAATTCTTTCAATTTTATTTATTTTATTGTTGTTCAACTACAGTTGTCCCCATTTTGCCCCACCACTTTCCTCCACCCCACCTACCCCCACCTTTCACACTCATTAATTTCATCTGTTTTAAAAATACACTCACCAAGCATTTGAATTTCTTCACTAAATAAAAAATTTTCAGGAACTAAGGGAACTCTGACTTTGAGAAATTGTAATAGCTATCAAATATGTCCATCAGCTTTATTGTTATTTAATGTAGACATCATTAATCAAAGTGATTATTTGCCAAAATATTGTTGTATTTCTGAACCTCTTAGTCTTTTTATATACCCAGCAATTTTGAAAGAGAAATTGAAGGCTCCATTGTTTTCATTCATCATGGAATGTATTATATGTAAATATTACATATAAACATGATAATACCAATGTATCACCTATTTTATATAGTTTTAAACATTTTACTTTATAATGTCATGTATTTTATTATTTTTCATATGTTAGACTTATCTTTTGAAAAGGATTAGAAACTCTTAAAGTGCCAAGACTATGTTATATACTCCTTAAATATACATTTAATCAATATGCTCAACAGCTGAAACCCACTGGATGGACAAGAGAACCTCAATATACAGAGCTATTATTACTGTTAAAACATTATAAAGTACTTACAAAGTGGAAAACATGCCTTATTTTTCTTTCAGTGAACAACTTTATAATGGATTCTTCCAAATGTGATGATTCTGAATTCTTCGATAGAATCCATGGAATTTTAATGTATAAAGATTTTGCCAAATATTGGGATGATGTAGAAGCATTCCAGGCAAGGCCAGATGACATTGTCATTGCCACTTATCCCAAATCTGGTAAGTCTGCTTGTTATGCCTAAGCTGTTCCTTTTCTCCTAGTAATGGCAGATCCCCCTTGAATGGTAAATATTAAGCTGTTCACTCCTTTCACACTCACTCTCTATATTAAATAAAGACAGACATAGTAGTTTTTGTAGAGACTGAAAAAGTGGCATTGATAGCTCTAAGATCATAATAATCTGTATCTATAAATTGAGCAAAACCATTAAAAATGGGTATTGTTGGCTTCTGGCAAGATGATGGTGTATAAAAGTGGTACTTGGAACCTCCCACGATCACATCAAAATTATAACTGAACTACAGAACAACCGCCATTCAGAACCACCTGAAATCTAGCTGAATAGAAGTCGTGTAAGGAAGGATATAAAGAAAAAGACACATGGAGATTGGTAGGAGGAGTAGAAACCAGCTGCTCCTACACCCACAATGTGGCAGTTAAAAAATAAGATATCTTGGTTGCAGAGGTCCCTTGTGAAAAGCATGGGTCCCAGCCTCATACCAGGCCCTCCAGACCAGGGTTCCAATGTCAGGAGTTGAAATCCCCATAACTTCTGTCTGTAAAAACCAGCAGAGGCTGTGGATAAGTGAGACAGAGCACTTTTAGAGTCCCAGTGTTCATCTAAGGGCTCGTGCACAGACTCACTTCTTCTGAACGCCAGTACTTGGGCAGCTCACCAAAAGATGCCTTGGACATACTGAGAATAACAAGCAACAGGGCAAAAGCTAGAGGAGTAGCTTTCTCCTAGTCAGAAGTGCTGGCAGAGGCCATTGTCCTTTGCTGAGCCCTCTCCACACAGAGCTGGCTCTTGGGTGCCATATCTGAGTTTCCATCAGCCTGGCTCACATCGTTGCCCCACCTTGGTGATTCTCTGAGACTGCATTGTACACAACCTTTGGGCCCACCCAAGCACTTCTAGTAGCTTTTCTATACCAATAGCTTCCCTCGGCTCATGCTTTGGACTTTCATAAAATCTCTCAAACAAGTCTCTGCATATCTATACTATTGCTAAATGGTTCCAGGCCTAACATCAACAACTACCTTTACTTGGCAACTTGCCTTCTCCAGGGAAGCTTGGAGCCCAGCAGCCATCTGCAGATTGCTCTGTAGTCTATGCCAGGTGGCCACAGGCAGGACACAGGCAGTGGCTGACCTTGGTCTGCACCTACTGGGAAGGCCCAGAGTCAGCACTCGTGGTGGACAAGATGCACAGCTTCAGACCAAGGTGAAGCACCACCTACCACTTCCATGAGCAACACCCCCAGGGGATGGACTCAGCAGGTACCTGAGCTCTGCTGAAGTGAGTTCTTTTCTGTGGGGTTGGTCCTTGCACAGTAGATCCTTTATGGCCATTGTGGCTAGTCCTCACAGCCAAAAGAAAGTAAAGTGATGTAAAAAGATATTTCATGAAAATGGAAACAAATAAACAAAAAACTGGGGTAGTAATACTTACATCAGACAAAATTAGATTTTAAAACAGAGGCTATAACAAAAGACAAAGAAATACCCATCAAATTCCACTTTTGGGTATTTATCTGAAGAAATCCAAAACAGTAAATGGAAAGGACATATATATCCACATATTCATTGCAACATTATTTATAATAACCAAGATAGAGAAGCAACCTAAGTGTCCATCAGTAGATTAATGGATAGAGAAAAAGTGGTGCATATATACAATGGAATATGTCTCACCCACAAAAAAGAATAAAATCTTGCCATTTGCAACAACATGGATCAATCTAGATGATATTGTGTTGAATGAGATAAGTCAGAGAAAGAGAAATGCCATACAATTTTACTTATATGTGCAATATATATATATATTTCACTTATATGTGAATTATATATATATATATTTCACTTATATATTTTGCTTATATATTTTGCTTTAAAAAGCAAAATAAATGAACAAACAGAACAAAAACAGAATCAGATATGGAGAATATTATGACAGTTGCCAGATGGGTGGGAACTTGGGAAATGAGTGAAAAATTAAATACAAACTGGGAGTTATAGAATAGTCATCGGAATATAAAGTAAAATATTGGGAATATAGTCAATAATATTTTAGTAACTATATATGGTGTCAGATGGGAACTAGATTTATTGGGGTGATCACTTTGTGAGTTATGTAAATGTCTGATAATGTGATTATACACCTGAAACTAATATAATATTGCATGTCAACTGTGATTTAAAAATAAAAAAATTTTAAACATGAGGAAAAGGAGACAACTCATAACTTTTCTTTTAAACTGTAATAAGATTATATTGTTTATATTACATAATTGCCCCAGAAAATTCAAAAATTATTCAAGGTAAAATTCAAAAGGAGTTAGGAAGAATCATAAATATTCAACATAATTTGTCAAACATTATGAAATTTAGCCATGATCATGATTGGAAAGATAGAAGTTGAGGAAGAATGAATAGGTAAAGATGAATTCTCAGTGATCACACATAAGAGAAAGGTTACATTAGTGAATAAAAGCTGTAGTCGGTATTAGCAAAGTTTACTGAATAAACTATAAGAAATAGTTCTTGGTGCCCAATGCCTAGGTTTATGGGGCCTCATAGAAAATAAAGTTAAAAAAACCTGTTTGTAAAAAAAACAACGATGTGATTTGGAGAGGATATTCCTTAAACTAGATATTTGAAAATACATAAAATGTAAAATAGTACATCTGTAAAAATTATGCAAAAGAAAAAATACCCATGCAAACTAACACAAACCTCTTGCTTCCCTCTAATAGTCATCAATGACTTTTTCAATAGTCATCAAACCTCTTGCTTCCCTGTAATAGTCATCAACAGACGGAAACAAGTCCAGCTGTCTCTTGACCTCATCTGTTCTCTCCTCCAATTGCCTTTTCCAATAATTTATTTCATATGTTTATTATCCATCTCATGACACTCTCTACCCAGCATGGAAGCAGAAAAAGACAGCCCTTCATGCTGACATCTGGCTGTCTCTCACAAAGCTGAGGCCTTTCCAGTGCTTCTCATATGTTTCCCCATTCATACACCCTGAACTGATTAAAATGTTCTTCCCTGTTTCCTGAGAAAATTTACACCCAAGAGTTCAGTGAACTTCATTCTATACATAAATTACCCATTATCAAGGCTACCATCTTCATAACAATCTTAAATGTAATGCATTGCATTTGTATTTTTGTGATATTGTGTTCCCCTTGGGAATTACATTTCTTATGAGGAACACTTCCCATTCTACTGACCTGCAGTGTAACTATCCTGTTTGTCCCATACAAATAAATTACATTGAACTATTCTAATTCCATTTGTTTAAAATAAACTCAAACATATGTGAAACTTTCCATTTTAAATGCATGTGCATGTGTATTTATTTATAAAACATGATATATAAAACTATCAAGTAGGTAATCATGTATTTAATTACTTTGTGATTTTTCCTTCAACCTTTGTATGATTTAGCAGTTTATTGTTGAATTTTCAAGTTCTTTTAATTGATTTTTTAATTTATTTTTTATTGATTATGCCATTACAGTTGTTCTATTCCCCCCTTCATTCCCCTCCACCCTACCCCCATCCCCATAACCCCCCTTTAGTTTATGACCATGTGTCTCAAGTTCTTTAGATTCTATATTTCCCATACTATTTTTGCCCCCCCATCAATTTTCTATCTACTGTCTATGCTACTTATTTTCTGTACCTTCTCCCCCCTTCTCCTCCTCCCACTCCCCTATTGCTAACCCTCCTTGAGATCTTCATTTCTATGTTTCCACTCCTGATCTAGCTGTCCTTTTAGTTTGCTTTTGTTTTAGGTGTGGTTGTTAATAACTGTGAGTTTGCTGTCCTTTCACTGTTCATGTTTTTTTAACTTCTTATTCTTAGATAAGTCCCTTTAACATTTTATATAATAAGGGCTTGGTGATGATGAACTCCTTGAATTTGATCTTATCTGAGAAGCACTTTATCTGCCTTTCCATTCTAAATGAAAACTTTGCTGGATAAAGCAATCTTGGTTGTAGGTCTTTGGATTTCATGACTTGGAATACTTCTTTCCAGCCCCTTCTTGCCTGTATGTCTCTTTTGAGAAATCAGCTGACAGTCTGATAGGAACTCCTGTGTAGGTGACTGTCCCCTTATCTCTTGCTGCTTCTTGATTTTTAATTTAATTTCATTATGGTCAAAGAATATATTCTGTATAGTTTCAAGCCTCTTAAATTTACTGAACTTTGTTTAACAGTTCAGTATATAGTCTAGCTGGTGAATGTACACTTGATAATGTTCTGCTGTTGAGTGGAATGTTCTAGAAATATCAAGTCAGTTGATAGTTAAAAAAAAGGGAAAATGGGTATTTTTGGCCACATTAGAAAAGTATGTATTGTAGATGGATAAGTATAGAGCCACAACTGAAATTTAAAACTACTAACTATGTTTACCTGATGTCAATATTGTCATTGTTGTATAGACAAAGTATAACCAGTTTTCACAGATTAAAAAAAACCCTCTTTTTCAGCTAACCAGCTTTTCTATAAGTTCATCCCCAAAACTTCATATTTAGACAATATGTATATTTTTAGCTTAGCTCAACTGTTGTAGTTCCAAACTCATAATCATAGACCTTCAGAAATTAGAAGGGTCTAATTCAGACTTCTCTATCTTGTTTTTCCATTTAGCATTTAAATATGTCAAACACTAAATATGTCTTTGGCTCCTCTGACTCTATGCCCTTCAGCCTCTCTAACGTTGCTCTTCCTCCACTTGTGAGGATCTGTGTCAGCATAGTAGCAGTCACCTGAAGAGGAAACCTGAGAGCTATTCCACATTCATTCCTTGCTTTTTCATTGCCTACATTCAGTCATACCATTCTGTCATGTCTTGTAGATGTGTCTCACAGTCAGTCTCTTCAGGTCTCTTGCCTCTCCTTGTTGACCCCTCATTCCATCCTTCTATTTAGTCTGCCACTAGAGGATTTCTTCCAAAACACACCATTGATAATCTCACTTTCTTGCTTGATGTATGTCAGTCAATGCCTTTTCAAACTTTCAGAAAACAGCTCTACAAGGCATTTTTTGCTTGCTGCCCGTTTGCCTCTATAGTCTCATTCCCCCCAGATCTTCAGGTAGCCTCTCTCATTTAGGCTTTATAATTTATTTCCAGTTCTTTTTCTCATGACTATATTATTCTAAAGTACTTGACCTTTGATTGTTTTTTAAAAAGACAGTTCTTCTACTTGGTAAAACCCTTCCCTACCTCACAAAAGTGGTGAACTTATGCCAGTAATTTGTTGAGGCTAAGCTCGTTTATTATGTTCTCTTAAAGGTATTTCTTGTTGAAACATCACAGCAGCAACGTCACACTGAACTAAATGTTCCTGTTTTGCAGTCCTTTAAACCCCCATGTTAAGATCATAACATCTGAAGGAAAAAAGTATTGTAATTATTGTTTCTCACTCTTCAAAGGGCCTTTGATCACCACAGGGAAAGGGCCAGATTTAGTCTTTTCTATATCCTCTGAACTAAGTACTCAACTTGAGGCATAAAAGGCTATCAGTAAAGTTTGTGTTTGAAAGCATGCTTGAGTGTATCATCTATTATTCAAGGCTCCTGACTTTTTAAATGTAAATATTCAGATCCAAACTGTTATCAGCTTGCACAATGTCACAATTTATCATGGACAAACTGGGACTCCTGCCATAGGTATGTTTTACTGTAATATTTGCCCATATTTATCAAGGTTATTTTGGGGCCTTGGCCTATTTTGATGCCTTTCAAATATTATATTGGAACATTCAGCTTTAACCAGCTATAAATGCATCACTTTCATCACCAGCCCAGCATGGTCAGTGGGAGTCTCAGGTTTGTTTAATTTTCACAGGCACAACCTGGGTGAGTGAAATTGTAGACATGATATTTAAAGAGGGTGATGTGGAAAAGTGCAAAAAAGATGTCATTTTTAATCGAATACCTTTCCTGGAATGCAGAACAAACGAGATGATGAATGGTATGTTTACATTGATTTTCATAGCTATTGTATATATATATATATATTAAAGTGTGGATGTAGATGATGTAAGGAAAGAGACTGTAGTCGAGAGTGGCAATTAGTATTATGTCTTCTACATATTAAAGCATATACATTTAATTTAAAATCTTGACAAAGTTTATGGTATAGCATGTGCCTAGAAAAGAGTGAATAAGGATAGCTCTTATATGTGTTTAGTAGAACCTAGTGGTGAGAATTTATCTCTCTATGGGCTAACATGATAATACTTTGAACACTAGAAAAATATCTATAAATTTTTAAGGATTTGTGCAAAAGGACATTTATTACTTTATTTTAATATTATAAAAATAAAAATACCATAAATGCTAGTTAAGAAAAGAATATTTAGAGATGATATAATGACACTAAAAATAATTAAAAATTTAAGGATATCATATGTTTCCTGACATTGCAATATCAATAGAGTATATTGAGGAGGAGGATAATTAGAAAATATTAAAAGTTTTAGGTATGTATGTCGTATTTGATAGCTGTGAGTCTGGACATATAAAATACATTTATATAGAAAGCTGTTTATCCAAATGTCAATAATGATTTTCCAAAGTGATAAAATTTTATTTGATTTTTTAAATAATTTCTCCTATCTAAAATTTTGTCATAGTTCATATGCATAGATTAATAACACTATCATTAGTAAAAGAATCTTAAAGTTACTTCTATTTTTTAAGACAGCTATAAAATCCATGTAAATATTTATAATTTTTGAAGTTGTCTAACCTTTATTTTTTATAAATCAGGAATAAAACAATTAAAAGAGATGGCATCTCCTAGAATTGTGAAGACTCATTTGTCAGTGAAGCTTCTTCCAGCCTCATTTTGGGAAAAAAACTGTAAGGTAACCAGAAGCCAAGTATTCTTAAAACGTTATCCAAGTCAAAGACATTTTAGAATGTTCAAGTCATAACTGTGTTGTATGTACACTCATTTGTTAACATTTCACTGAATCTATAAACATTTGAAAAATGTAGATTATAGTCAGCATAGTCAGAGAGTCTAGGTTTCAATTTCAACTTTAGAAGTGATTCTGAAAACAAAGAAAAAAACCCAAGTAAATTCTCTAAACCAATTTCCTTGTCTGTAAAAGAAGGATAATAATAAAATCTTCCTCATATAAGGATTAAATGAAATAATGTCGATAAACTGCGTAACATAGTGCCTAGCATATAGTAAACAATCAATGGTAGCTACTTTTGTATTTGTTGTTATTACTAATTGTATTGAATGTACTCTTACAAAAATTTGTGCTTGATATTGTGAGGCAAGCACATGAACTAGATAAAGATAAACCAGGCAACTATCATGGTAATTACTGTCTATCATGTCCCAGCAATACAACAATTAAGTCATATGCAGTCATAAGCAGTCATATACCTTATCTTCATGGACACATCGTTCATTTAGGGGCAAATAAATAGAGAATGCATTGTCATAGGTCAAGTAAGAAAAGAATTCTAGCCTAGACATTGAGGATAGGAAAGACACCCAAGAGCAAGTAACATCTCAGCTGATATTTTCAGAATGCATAGCAGTTAGTCTGTACAGTGCCAGAGGGAATGATGGGAGATTTAAAATTAGTTTGGCTGGAAAGTTGAGTGTACATATTGACTGGATGAGTGAAGGAAGATAAGCTAGGGCTTCATTAAAACAAATGTTAAAAGTCAAGAAGTCTGGAGTCTATTTAATAACAATGAGGAGTTGTAGAGATCAAGTTGCTGACTAACACAATCAAGTTTTTCTTTTTTTAGAAAGAATCACATGAGTGACCCCCAAATATGGGCATAACATTAATTCTTAGACCACTGAGGCTGTTCTTCAAGATCTTTCTAGCTTTCTTAAAGACATATTATAACCCTTACTATACATATGAGATATTAAAATACTATATGCTGTCATTACTAACAGAAAGGGATTTATCACAGTCACAAAACATTTCTACTTGGTACTCTGATCTTACATGGTATATTTGAACTTCTGGAGATTCATGGTCCAAACTTCTATAGATCCCAATGTTGCTTGCTTGTTTGTATGCTTGCTTTTTTTTTAAAGAAGCAATTAAAAAATACACCAAATGCATTACACTAAAGTCATTCATTCTCTCTCAGTATATTATATAGGACAGATGTCATTACCATTTTTTCAAGATTTGACCAAGTCACTTTTTTTCCTTTGAAGAATGGATTGTAACCTTGATGTTACCACATTTACTTTTCAAATGGAAATAGATATCATACTTTTACCGTGGTTTCCTAAAACTTCACTAAACTGCTTATCATCTCAGAGATCATTAAAGAGTAAGAAGTAGCTGAATGGATTTATGTTCTGAATATTCCCACTTCTTGTCCAGTGGGAGACAAGAAGACAGATGAATTAAGATGATTAGTAAAATTGTGTGTAGAGGTGTAGATGAGAAATTATAAGTGATAAAAAAGAAAAAAAGAAACCTGCCTAATGAATAATAGGCAATTAAGAGCAATAGATTTGAGGCCTCAGAGTGGTTTCAGGAAAGGTATATTGGAAATGACTGGTAAGGAAAAGGGAGAAGCAGTACTTTCTTGAAGAAAACATGAGATTGCAGGATAAGGCTCCATAAGTGAAACTTTTAAGGTTCTGACAAGAATCACAGCCTGATTATAACATTGGCTGGCTAAGGTAAAATATAAGTAATGATCAATGAGTGCAAGAACCTAGAGGATCAGGCAGACAGATATTAACATTACACAGAATGATAATCAGATTTGAAATTGAGAGTAATACTAAAAAGCAGGTATTAAAATCTTTCATGAAATCAAGAAAATGACCACAAGCTTAGAATGGCATCAGCTGGTGGCAGGTGCCATTGTTCCTTCTTGAGCCCTTCCTGGATCCAGGCTGCAGGGTTCAGTATCTGAATTCTGTTAATCATTCAAATACTGATTTAGCCCAAGCCTGGTGATTTTCTGAGACCCTGCTTCACAAAATTTAGACTGAACCTCTTTTCAGAGGCTAATCCACACAGGTGGTCAGCCTGGGATTATGTTGCAGACTATCCTAAAATCTATCAAAGGTCCACAAACACCAAGCATACATTGGCTTGCCTCTGGAGACCCTGTACTTCTTTGCTAAGGGGCACCAAGTCTGGCATTAGTGGCAGCCAGTGTTGGATCACAGCATAACTCCTCCCAGACCCTTCCAAGCCCAGCACAGGCAGCTACCAACTACAGATCACTTCGTAGCTCCATACCTGGTGACTCCAGGCCAGACATAGACAACAGTTGATCTTGGACTGCACTTAAGCCCCTCCTAAAAAACTTCCAAACCAACAGCCCTGGTGGCCAGCTTCAGACCACACCAGAGCACCACCTGATTAAACCCATAAACAACACACTCAAACGGGTGGTCTGGAACAACTTCAGAGCCCAGATAAAGTTAACTCTCTGCTCTGTAAGGTCAGCCCACACACAACAGCTTGTCAGCTATAGTCCTCAGAGTCAGTCTGCCTGATGAGTTGCCATGTAGGAATGGGTGCATAGGTAAAAAAAGAGAAGGGATTAAGAAGTACAAATTGGCAGTTGCAAGAATCATGGAGATGTTAAGTATAGCAAAGGAATATAGTCAATAATATTATAACAACTGTATATGTTGTCAGGTGGATGCAAGATTTGTTGGGGGATCACTTTGTAGGTTACAGGTTAAAAGTTGTGGGTTATACAAATGTTTAAATGCCATACTGTACACCTGATAGTAATATAATATTTTATCAACTATAAATTTAAAATATTTAAAAATAAAGCCAACCCAATTTAAAAGGGAACCAAATATGCATAGTAAATGATATTAGCATAAAAATGGCATCAGCTAGGAGAATTATGAATTGAGTGTCATGGAGCAGGGATCTTTCAAGTGTAGTATTTTTAAGATGAATTATGATCCCAAGTGAATTATGATAAACTAACTTTGACTCTAGAGAAAGCTTCAGTGAAAGTCATAGATTCAGAAAAGAGCTAGAGTTTCCTAGAAGGTTGGAAGAGCATATATAATAAAAAGTTTGGGGTATAGAACAGTATCTGCGAAAATGAAAATTTAGGGAAAGAATGAGTAACTTTGGGCTCACCACCACCGCCTGGGAAAGCAAAAAAACTTCATGGAAGACCTGGAGCTAAGCTTTAAATATGGATAGTATGAGATGCAGAAAATATTCAGGACAGGGGTAACAGAATGAAGAAAGCAAAGGAGTGAAAAATCTGAAGCAAATCCATGGATAGAGTGGCAAGGAGTTCCATTCAACTAATAGGCAGAAAGAACTAGGGAGAGTTATAAATAAAATTGGAAATTTTCAGTAAGGCTAATAATAACTTTGATAAGTAAAATTATTTTTGTAGTAATTAAGGTTTCATGGTGGGATCTTAAAATTGAGAACCATACTTCTTAGAGTAAAATAGATTTTCTTGAAATTGTCTGAAAATATGGAGGCTTGAGTAAGACAAGTTAGTGAGCCTAATTATATCCCTTCAATAGTGGACGAGTCAAGAGCAGCCTTTTTCCCTTGATGGTATCACTCAAGTGACTGAGGGTGCAAGTGGAAGGCCATGGGGATATGGAATTTACTTTTGCAGATGTTTTCCTGCAGCATGGAATATCAGACCTACAGGAGGCCATAGGGATCTGAACCAACTCACTTGTTTAGTGGATAACAATTTAGGTCCAAAATGATTGGTGCTTTAGGTCCAAAATAAAGGGATGATAGAATTTCTCAGTGCCAGAACTAGCTATTAAAACCAAGGCTCCTGATTATTCATTGGCTGGTATTTCCTCTATATGTAAAATAGAGATTGACAAGATGTTGGTGGGGATTATATTGTCATTGAGGTTAATGTGACCCTCATAAATATAGCTGTTTTTTAAAGATCATGAGTAAGAAAACAGCAGGACTTTTTTTTTTTTTTGGTATACAGAACAAATGGTACAGTAGAAAAATCAGAGGACTTTATTACTGAGTAATTCACCAAATCATTTGCTCTTATTGATTTATTTTTAGTGCTGCATTGTGACTAGCTTCAGTTTAGTTTTTTCTCTTATATTGAGGATAATAATCTATCTGGCCCAATTTATAGCAATGGAATTGTGACACGCAAATGAAGTATTATATGAAAAATAGCATAAAAGTGAAAAATTAAAACAAATATTGAACAACACTGCAAAAGACGCTGTCATTTCAGGCTATTGAAGGGCTTTGCTTTTTTATAATTTTCTATGCTTTCTAAAATGTATATATATCATATTTATAGTTGAAAACACAAGTGTTCTCTTTAAAAATCTTAATGAAACTGTATTTGAAAATAACTAAGTGATTTCGTATTTGATTTTACCTTCTTAGATGATCTATCTTTGCCGGAATGCCAAGGATGTGGCTGTTTCTTTTTATTATTTCTTTCGAATGGTAGCTGGTCATCCAGATCCTGGAACTTTTACAGAGTTTGTGGAGAAATTCATGGAGGGACAAGGTAGGAACAGCTTCCTTTCTTTGAATTCTTTCAATGTTAATGATGCAAGACAAATGACATCTCTGAAAAAAAAATGTCTGCTGTCTTTCCTGGTCTATTATCTTTCTTGATCCTTAATTTAAAAAAAAAACACAAAACAAAACAGAAGTTCTAGTTGCACTTGAACTTTAGAGCAAGCATAGGATTTCCAGATGTGGATGGCAAATTATAGAATATACACAGCTCAGTTCAATGCCTAAAAAGAAATATATATATGGCTTGGAGGTAATATTTTTTCTCTTTAAGATTGAGACTCAGTGTCCAATTTTTTCTCCTTTTTTATTAGAAAACTATTTTGTAGCATGTTATCACAACTCCGTTGAACAAGAGAGGGAAGGGCATAGAAGAGAGAGATTGCCCATTTGTTTCTAAGGAAAATTTTAGGTGCTATATGGGGGGGTAGACTTTACAAAGAACTCTGAAGTTTTTACTCATTATACCCAGTGTACAGTATGAATAATTCAATTACATTTCTCAGAACAGTGCTAGAGTTATCTGAGCAGAAATTCTGAAAAATTTTGCCTCTTTGTTTAACTCCAGACTAAAGTAACTGAGAATGTAGATTTGAGGAAGAAAAGGTTTGGGAGATTCTAGCATTAATTGAAGGCCATTCTGATCCTGTAATAATAATTGTAAGGAATATGATAACAATTTCGCTTTTGCTTCCATAGAAGCTAATATCGACTCAATAAAAGTAGAATATATGCATTTTATGTTTTTTGGTATATTTTGAGAAACTTTATGCTAATGTATAATAAATAAAATATATGCCTCAAGATCACGAAAACACACACTGTAAGAAAGAGAAAGGTAAAGTAGTACCTCCATAAACAGATAAATAAAATCATTATAAACACCATCATGTAATTTCTTCTGTAAAGAAAATATTGCCGCCCTGGCTGGTGTGGCTCAGTGGACTGAGCGCGGGCCTGCGAACCAGACAATCGCAGTTCGATTCCCAGTCAGGGCACATGCCTGGGTTGCAAACCAGTTCCCTGCAGGCCAGTTCCCAGCAGGGGACACACGAAAGGCAACCATACATTGATGTTTCTCTCCCTCTCTCCTTCCCTTCCCCTCTAAAGATAAATGAATAAAATATTTAAAAAAAAAAAAAAGAAAATATTGCCAACAGAGTAAAAGTACAAGAAATATGCAATGATTTAATGCAAAACAGGATACTTTGACTCACACATTCTGATCTCATTCTGTCAGCTTTTGTTGGGTGAACACTTGGATATGTGTAGAGAAGATAAGGGAAGAGAAAGGAAGAGACAGAATTTGGTCCTCACATCATTTTCAAAGTCTTCTAATTCTCTTAGAGTGAGAATGACACTACAGGTTCTTAAAAGAACAGCTCTTATCATCTAAACTGCAAGTAGTAGAATAAATAATTATGTAGTTACTAGCTTCAATTGCCAAACCAGTTCGTAAATGGCAAATTTGATGAATTCTTATTACAAGAACATTGGTAGTTCCAGTAACTCACCTCCCTTCACCAATAACCTGATTTTACATGCATACACAAATACTTTTTCTCTGTGCCATAAACCATGTTATAATGATGAAAATTGAGAATATGTTTCCATATCTGAATCATTCAATGTATTTTTCCTCCTTCCTGCAAAAAATTTTGCTTAAGATGTGTGGCTGCTCTCTAGTTTTCATTCTGTGATGATTTATATTAATTTGTTGCTACTGTTGTTTGAACACTTATTCTAAAGCTGTATAAAGGTGATACTATGTTCTTATGTTTTTTCTCTAATTTTAGTTCCTTATGGTCCCTGGTATGAACATGCAAAATCTTGGTGGGAAATGAGAAAGAATCCACACGTGCTATTTCTTTTCTATGAAGACATGAAGGAGGTAAAAAGCTGAAAACATATGAGCAACTAATATTTTTATAATATTTATAATTTCATATTTTAGTAATTTGTAAAATGTTATCATTTAGCAATACCCTAGATACAAAAACCTGCCTTTAAATAAATGGTTAAACTACCTCCAAAAGTTAGTGAATAAAAATCTGTGAATGAATATGTTTAAAGCAAAGTATCAAAATATTACCAAAAACAAAATTTGAAAGAACTTGAGTTTATAATACAAAACAACAATGACATACATAGATATATACACACAAGAAATCACAACAGATGAGAAAAGTCAACTGGTCTCCAAATCTATAGATGCTGGAATTATCAGATAGGGGTTTTAAAATAACTATGCATATTTTTATGCAATAAAAGAAAAAATTGTAAATTTTACAAAGAAGCAAGAAGTTACTAAAATTAACAAGTCAGATTGTAAAAATAGCAAAATAGATTTTTTCTTTGTTTTAAAAATATTTTAAATTTATTTTAGAGAGAGAATGTGGGTGGGGGGAGAGAGAGGGAGAAACATTGATTTGTTGTTCTACTTATGTATGCATTTATTAGTTGACTCTTGTTTGTGCCATTAATAAGACTGAACCCACAATCTTCTTATATTGGGATGACACTTCAACCAACTGAACTACCCATCCAGGACCGAAATAGAATTTCTAAAGTATTCAATTAAAATTAGTCATTAAGAGATAGTTTAAATAATAAGCTGGACATGCCTAAATCATGGATTAGTAATGTGGAAGATGGAGCTGAGTTAATTCTATAAAATTTACTATATTGAAATAGAATACTTTAAAAAATAATAATGGATATGTAAAGCTAGCATGATAAGGTTCCACTTATATACCAATTTCAACTTTCAGGAGAAAGTAAAGAGAATGCTCAGAATAGCAATATGTAAAAGTCTGATGGCCTCAAAATTTCCCTATAATCTAGTTTTTTTCTAGCTTCATTAGTAATCAGGTTAATACCATATAAAAACTACTATGTGTTGTTATTTCATACCCACCATACTGACCACAATTTAAAAGTTTGACAACAATAAATGTTAGGACCTAGATCAGTAAGAAGTAACATGCTCCTGATAGTAGTGTGAAAAGATACAAACACTGTGGAAACAACTTATCACTATCTACAAAGGGCAAAATATGAACATAGACAAAGTCCCAGAAATTCTACTAGTAGATATATATATTCTTGAAAAATTATGGCTGATGTATAGTATATACATGAGGTCCATTATATAAGAGGTCTGTTCAGAAAAAGTCCGGCCATTGTTAATATAATGAGAATGGTTTGTGCAATGTTGATGTAACCTGGCAGCCAAGGAGAGTGGACTGGAATGTGCATATGTGAACAATGGTGACTTCACTGTACTAGTCAGTTGGGGTGGTAAACATCACTGGGTGAGCGTGTGTACTCTCTGGCTGTCACATTCAAAATGACTGAGCAACCGAGCAAGACCATTTTAGAGCAACAACTCTGCATCAAGTATTTTGTTAAGCTTGATATGCCTCCGTGGAAACATTTGAACGAACCAGAAGGCTGCGGCAGTGGGCAACTGGTGATTGGCAACTTCATTACTACAACAGCTCATGCATCATGTCTCATGCAGAATTTTTTTAGTGAAACATCAAATCACCCAGATGACTCAGTCTTCTTGCAGCCCAGGTTTGGCACCTGCCATTTCTGGCTTTGCCCCAAACTGAAATCACCTTGGAAAGGAAAGGGATTTCAGATGCTGATGAGATTCAGGAAAATAGGATGGGGCAGCTGACAGTGATTAGAACTGTGTGGGGTCCCAAGGTGCCTACTTGAAGGAGGCATTGTCCTGTGTACAATGTTTCTTGAATCTTGCATCTTCTTTAATAAATGTCTCCATTTTTCATACTACATACTATTTTTCATGGTTGGATACCTTCTGGACAGGCCATATATATGTATACATATATCACATCTTCATATATACATATATCAAATATCACATTATCTTCATATTTGTGTGTGTGTGGGGTATATGTTACATCCTCTTTATCCTTTCATTTATTAGTGAACTCTCAGGTTGCATCCATAGCTTGGCTATTGTAAATAGTGCTACAATGAACATATCTTTGTGAATTAGTGTTCTTATTTTCTTTAGATAAATACTCAGAAGTAGAATTGATAGGTTGTATGGTAGTTAGTTCATTTTTTCAGCAACATCTAGACAGTTTTTCTTATTGGCTCTGCTAATTTACATTCCCACCAACAATACAAGAGAGTTCTTTTTGCCACATCTGTGCCAACCCTTGTTATTTGTTGACTTCTTTATAATAACCATTCTCACAGTTGTGGGGTGATATCTCATTGTGGTTTTTTAAAATTTAATTATTGTTCGAGCACAGTTTTCTGTCTTTTACCCCCATCCCAACCCACCCTCCCCAATCCCCCCACCTCCCTCCCATTTCCACCCCCTTCAGTTGTTGTCCGTGTGTCCTTTATACTAGTTCCTGTAAATTCTTCCCCTTTTCCCCCTGAAGTTACCTCCCCTCTCCCCTCTGGTCACTGTCCCTCTGTTCTCTATTTCAGTGTCTTTGTTTTTATTTTGCTTACTTGTTAGCCAGGTGTTGAAAGACAAATACCATATGATCTCACCTCATTGTGGTTTTGATTTGTATTTTTCTAATACTTGATGATGTTCAGCATCTTTTTATTTGGGCCATCTTTATATCTTCTTTGGGGAAATGTCTATTCATATTTTCTGCTTATTTTTTAATCAGATCACTTTTTGATGTTGAGTTGTATTAGTTTCTTATATATTATGGATATTAACTCTTATTGGATATATCATTGATAAATATCTTCTGCCATTCAGCAGGTTGTTCTTTCTTTTTTACTTGATTATTTCCTTCACTGTGCAGAAGCTTTTTAGTTGGATGTGGTCCCATTTGTTTAATGTTTGCTTTTGTTGCCTTTGCCTGTCATTATATATATATACATATATACATATATAAAAGAACACACACACACACACACATATATATATATACACACAAAAAAAATATATCGCTAAGACCAACGTCAAAGAGTTTACTGACTATGTTTTCTCCTTGAAGTTTTATGGTTTCAGGTCCTACAGTTAAGTAATTCATCCATTTGAGTTTATTTTTGTATATGATATAATAAAGTGGTATTTTGTACATTATATATAAGAAATTATATGGTATGAAATGTGTTTTATGTCCATTTTATGGCTGATAAAAATCATATTTAGATAAATTTAAAGTATAGCACTTCTTTGAGAAGTATTTTTTCTCATTAAAGGCTTAATTCCAATATCAGTGTGTAGGGATGAGAGGGGGACAAAGAGGTTTATTTTCCCTCTCTTTCTTCTTTTAATCCAAATAGAAATGTATTCAATTTTAGTATTTGAGTCTTCAAGCTATTTTTTTTCTTTCTAGGACATCAGAAGAGAGGTGATAAAACTTATACAATTTCTAGGAAGGAAGCCTTCTGGGGAGCTTGTGGACAAGATTGTACAACATACTTCGTTCCAAGAGATGAGAAACAACCCATCCACCAATTACACAACACTACCAGATTACATCATGAACCAAAAAATATCCCCCTTCATGAGAAAGGGTGAGTCAGTCACGTGATTTGCCTCTGCTGCTTTAGGAAATCACAAGTTGAAATAGTTATAAGCAAACACCCAGCGAGGCCTATGCATGCCTGTGGACTCAGCTTGTTTTCTTCAGAGTGGTCTACCTGACTGTGGAGCATCATGCAGTGAGAAATCTCCAGCATGAAACTTTGCAGACCACTTTTGACATGCTCAGTAAGTCACAAGGACCTTCTGCATGCACTTCACAAATCAGTTTTTATATTTCAATTGCATTTTCACCTTTCTTGAAATAAGCATAATATGCCAAAAAATGTTGCATATTCTATTCTATGTTCAATATTAAAATGACTACATAAAAATTCACCAATTTTTTAAAGTTTTTTTAATGCACTCTGATATAACAGCTGTCACAATACAAACAAAATTGTTTCAAATGAAGTTAAAAATAACTAAGCGCTACTAAAGACATCTTACAGAAAAAAGAAATGAAATTTTTGGCCAACCCAATATTTTCTATTATTTACTTTTGAGATTATTTCACTGGGAAAGTTTAGAGCTTGTTGATCTAAGGTGGAAAGTGTACTACTGACTGAATTAAAATGTAGGGTGACCTCCTTCTGTCAGGAGAGAAATGAATGTGACAGAAAGCAAAAGGAAAAGGCCTGCTAGACTATTGTCATAAAAGCCCAGGTGAGAACTGCTGAGGAATTTCTCTGTCAGTAGAAGCAGAATGAGAGGAAAGCAATGAGTATAAAAAAAGTCTGAGTATGAATAAAAAGTTAGATGTAGGATCGAAGGGACAACTTTTAAATTTATACCTTGGATTCCTGGCATTGCCATTAACCTGGTTATGGAAAAGAAAACACAATTTGGTAGGGACAAAATGAATTAATGTTTCAACTAGTTGAATTTAGGGTACTTGCATGGGATTCAGGTGGCAATATTATATAGGCAGATGGATATGGAAATATAAATCTATATGTGAGTGTCATCATCATGAAGAAGGACATGGTAAAATGTGGATCTCATCTTAGGAGGAAGCCCAACATTTGAGAGGAAATTGGAGAAAAAAGTTCAATGAAGTGGCATTAGAGGGAAGAGTCAGAGAAAGAAATTTGCTGTATATTATTGTTTTAACAGTCATAACAAATCTTTCTTTCCAAGCTCAAACATGTGTATTATTTGTGTAGTATAATTGAGAGTTATGGCTGTAAAATGTGTGTAGGTATTAATGAAAGTGATGAATATTAGAAAACTTTGATTTTGGCTTGAAGACACAATATTTACTGTTTTTGTCCTTTTGTTACAGGAATTGCAGGAGACTGGAAGAATCACTTTACGGTAGCCCTGAATGAGAAATTTGATATGCACTATGAGCAGCAAATGAAGGGGTCTACACTGAAACTACGGACTGAGATCTAAGACCCAGCACAAATAAAGCCCCTGTTTTATTACAAAGTCATTAGCATGTAATTTTGTAATATAACAATATCGCATTCAAGCACACCATATGATATTTTTGGTAAAATGCTCAAATTAAAACTGCAGATCATTACACACCTTACCAAACATACTCAACCAGAGGTTACTTCTGCTGCACCCTGTATTGGAGATTAAACGTTTTCTTCTCATTGTTTCTCAATTTTTCTTGTTTTAGATTGGTAGAGAAGAAGTCATGTGAAAGATTATGGTCAGGTCCATATTATTATTGAGATCTCAATACAAAAAGATGAAGGATTTTTTCCTGATATTATCTTTTTTATTTTATTTTGTTCTTTTTCTTCTCCTTTCTTTTTCTTCTTTTTACAAATATTACACAAAGCTGTAATCTATGGGAATCTATGGGAATGCACAGATAGTTTAAGTTAGAAGCTTATTAAAAATTAGCAAACATTCCAACTTTTTAATGCTAGTTTTTTCCATTTCATAGTACATTTAGTATATGTATAAACTTTGAAAATCATGGAAGAGAGAATTAAAAAAATAAATAAATTCAGGAGCATAATTATACCTATTATTTTTGTCCTGATTTTTTTCACTTTCTACAAAATGATTTACTTTGGAATTTACCTTAATCTAATGTAAATTTTGCCTGAATTGATCATATGTCTAAAAATACTCCCAATGAGTTTTATTTACACTTAATGTCATATATATAATATAATGAATTTATATTCTGTAAACTGAAGGTTTGAAAATTCTGATATAAGCCAATAAAACAAAGCAAAACCAAAAAGAATAGGAGAACAATTATTGTTTTTATATAAACTGTTGTTTTCATGTCTCCTGTGTCTTTGCATTCTAATGGTAATTTTTCCTATATTACATTTATTTTAGTAGCCAATGCTTCCTTTCTGTAAATCAGAAGACATACAAGATTATATAAGTTTCACTATGAGTCTTTAGTAGATTATTTCATCTGTAATTCTTAACCTACAAGGTCAAATCTAAAAAGAAATAAATATGGTTTGTTTTCTTACTCTTTAGAGGAAAATCCAGCAATTTCTGAACTTCCTATTTAATAGTATAATTTTTCAAAATCAAAGCTTCTGGAGTAAGTAAAAACACTTATTTTTTTAAAAATAAGAAACATAACATAGTTATGCAGTATACAAAACTTGGAGAGCCTTAAAAAGGTTAAGTCTTTATCTATGAGGTTTTTGAGATTTTTCTACCTTTTTCATCAAGCATAGCCTTTGTTTTAAACTCTATGTTTGTCTTTTATAAACATTTCTATCCCAGATTTTTGTTTTGTTTTGTTTTCCTTCCATTTTTATGAAATGTCTTTTTTCATCTCGTTACTTTCAGTCTCTGTGTCTTTGAATCTGAGTATCTTGAAGGAACCATGTGTAACGGTTTTGTTTTGTTATCCCTTCAGTTACCATATGTCTTTTAATTAGAGCATTTAATCTTTTTGCATTTAAAGTAATTGCTGATTATATGTACTTATTCTCAGTTTATTATTCATATTTTTATCTTTTTCCCTCTTCTTAAAGAAGACTCTTAAACAATTCTTCTAACACTGTTTTGTGTTGATAAACTTTTTTGGCTTTTTTTATATACTTTGGACCTCACAATGTGGAGTCCGCAATTTATTTCACTTCTTTTTCCAGAACTTTTCATCTTTGCTTTTTCCTAGAGCCTTTGACCCACCTCCATGATCTAAATTGCAGTCCTCCATCTATGTATTTCATTTATTTATTTATTATTTTAATATATTTTTCATTATGCTATTACAGTTGTCCCATTTTTGCTCTTTATTACCCTCCATCCTGCAAACCCCCTCCCACCCACATTATCCCCTTTTCATTCATGTCAGTAGGTCGTACATATAAGTTTTGGGGCTTCTGTATTTTCTATACTATTATTAATCTCCCTCTGTCTATTTTCTACCTACCAAATATGTTACTTATTCTCTGTACCTTTTCCCCTTGTCTCCCCCTCCCACTACCCTGCTGATAACCCTGCATGTGATCTTCATTTCTGTGATACTGTTCTTGTTCTAGCTGTTCCCTTAGTTTGTTTTTGCTTCTAGGTTCAGTTGTTAATAGCTGTGAGTTTGTTGTCATTTTACTGTTCATATTTTTTAATCTTCTTTTTCTAAGTCCCTTTAATATTTCATATAATAAGGGCTTGGTGATAATGAACTCCTTTAACTTGACCTTATCTGGGAAGCACTTTTTCTGCCCTTCCATTCTGAATGATAACTTTGCTGGATAGAGTAATCTTGGGTGTAGGTCCTTTCCGTTCATGACTTTGAATACTTCTTCAAGTCCCTTCTTGTCTGTAAAGTTTCTTTTGAGAAATCAGCTGACAGTCTAATGGGAACTTCTTTTTAGGTAACTGTCTCCTTTTCTCTTGCTTCTTTAAAGATTCTCTCCTTATCTTTCATCTTGCTTAATGGAATTATGATGTGCCTTGGTGTGTTCCTTCTTGGGTCCACCTTCTTTGGGACTCTGAGCTTCCTGGACTTCCTGGAAGTCTATTTCCTTTACCAGATTGGGGAAGTTTTTTTTTCATTAACTTTTCAAATATGGTTTCCAATTCTTGCTCTTCTTCTCCTTCTGGCACCCCTATGATTCAGATGTTGGAATGGTTAAAGATGTCCTGGAGGTTCCTAAGCCTCTCCTCATTTTTTTGAATTCTTGTTTCTTCATTCTGTTCTGGTTGAGTGTTTATTTCTTCTTTATGGTCCAAACTGTTGATTTGAGTCCTAGTTTCCTTCCTGTCACTGTGAGTTTCCTGTACATATTTCTATATTTCACTTTTCATAGTCTTCATTTTTTCCCTCTAATTTGCAACTATACTCAACCAAATCTGTGAGCATCCTGATTACCAGTGGTTGGAACTGTGTATCTGATAGGTTGGCTATCTCTTCATCACTTAGTTGTGTTTTTTCTGGAGCTTTGATCTATTCTTTCACTGGGCCATTTTTTTTTGTCTAGGTGCACCTGTCAAGTAGTAAGGGGTAGAGCCTTAAGTGTTCACAAGGGTGGGGCAACCAAGGTCGCTACATTATGACGCTGTATGTGGGGGAGGGGTCTGAGAGGAAACAATGCCACTTGCTCTGCTCTCTGCTGGTTTTTAATCACTTCCCCTGCTACCCACAAGCAAAATGAGCCCTTTTGGTGCTGATTCCTGGGTGGGTGGGTGGGTTTAGGTACATTCTAGGAGCCTCTGGGTCTCTCCAATGAACTCTCCCGTGAAGGTGAAAGTTTCTCTCACCACTACAATCCCCACAGGTGTTTTCAGTCAGAGGATTTGAAGCTTTATTTCTTTACATTGGGACCCTGGGTTGTTGCTGTACTCTGCCAGCCATCATCTTGCCCACCCTAGTCCACCATCTACTTACTGCCTTGCCATGAGTCATCTCTGCTGGGCTGCCTGACTCCACCCCTCCTACCAGTCTGGAAGAATATTTCTTCTTTAACTTCTTGGTAGTCAGACTTCCATACAATTCAATTTTCTGTAAGTTCTGGTTGTTTTTGGTTTTAAACTTGTTGTTCTATTCCTTTTGGTTTTGCGAGGAGACACAGTATATCTGTCTATGCCTTCATCTTGGCTTCTCCCCATCTATGTTTCTTAAACATCAACTTTCCTCTAATCTGTAGCTTTTCTCTTGCTAGTATCATATTTTTATTTTTTCAGTTCTTGCCAATTTCTATATTTTAGTCTTTCCTTCACCTTCCAACTGGTTCTTAATCTCTTATTTTTTTAGTAAACATCTTGAATTTATTATTTTTGTTTAATATTATGTATAATTAAAAAAAACTTTTATCCTTTGGGGGCCTGGGGACCTTCTGCAGTAATTGGCAAAGTCCTTCTAAACAACTAGCAGGCTTTAAATGTGCAGTGGATGCCAGGTCTCTTCCCTGGAATAGAAACAGATGCTGTTCTCTTGCCTAGAAAACTCTTTGTCCTCCTATTCTAAATAATAGCTTTGCTGAGTAGAGTTTTCTTGATCATACGTCTTTGCTTTTCACTGCTTGGAATATTTCTTTCCAGTCCCTTATGGCCCGCAAAATTTCTGTTGAGAAACCAACTGACAGTCTTATGTGAACTCTTTTGTATGTAACTAAAGGCTCTTCTCTTGATTCTTTTAATATTCTCTCTTTGCTCTAATCTTTGTATTTTCATTATGTTGTGTCTCAATGTGAGCCTCTTTGGTTTCATCTTGTTTGGGGCTTTCTATGCTTCCTAGATTTGTATGCATATTTTCTTCACCAGGTTAAGAAAGTTTTCAACCATTGTTTTTTCAAATAGGTTTTAAATGTCTTCCTCTCTTCTCCTGGCACCCCAATATGCAAATGTTAGCACATTTAACATGGTCACAGAGACTCCATATACTATCTTCATTTTTGGATTCTCTTTCTTTTGCTGTTCTGATTGGTTGTTTTCTACTTTCTTATATTCCAAATTGTTGATTTGATTCTCTGCTTCACCTATTCTACTGTTTATTACCTATAATTTATTATTCAGTTCAGTTAGTGTACCCTTAATTTCTGGCTGCCTTTTTTGTGGTTTCCATGTCATTTTTTATGCTTTCAAAGTTCTCACTAAATTTCTTGAATATTCTTATGACCATTGTTTTGAATTCTGTATCTGGTAGTTTGCTTGCCTCCATTTCATTTAGTTCCTTTTTGGAAATTTCTCATTTAGGGCCTGTTTCTTTCTCTCCTCAAAGAAGAGAGATTTATCTCTCTTCCTTTTGATGGTCTCCCTATATTTTTTCTATGTATTAGGCAGCGTGGATATAGCTCATAAATGCGGTAGAGTAGCTTTATGTAGTCTGTGTTTTGTAGGGCCCAGTCACTGGGTACTATAAGTGCACCCCTGATCATGTAGCTATATACATTCTCCTCTTTTAGTTGAGCCTTGATTGTTCATGGGGGTAGAGGATTAAACCTAATGCTGATCAGTTGTGAGGATCAATTGCAACTACAGGAAAGGAGCTGCTGTGCAGGAGTCAACACCATGGAATAGAACTCACTTCTAAAATACTTTGGTGCTCTCTGAAATTGTCCCTTTTGTGTGTCCTTTGTAGAGGTGGTTAGATTGTAATATTGTGTGGTCTTGAAGCTGTCCACTGGGTTTCCTGGTTCTGGAGAAGAAAAGTCAGACATGACTTGTGCCTTGCCCAGGGCCTTGTGGAATGAGCTAGAGAGAGATCTATAGACAACTACTACTTACATTGGGCTTGGAGGTAACCAGGAAAGACCAAGTTGCCAACTAAGTGTGGCTGTTACTTGTGCCAGTTGTGGGGCCACTTAGCAAGAGTAAAGGGTATGTGGAGGCCAACTAAGTGTGGCTGCTTGTTTGAGAGATTTTTAGGAAAGTCTGAAGCATGAGCTAATGGAGACACTTGGGTGAGCCAACAGGTTGGGTAAGGTGGAGTCTAGGGAAACACCAGGGTGGGGCAAACTATGAGACAGGTTAATGGAGACTCAGATATGGCACCCACCTACCAGCTCTGTGTTGGGATAGTTCAGCAAAGGAACCTCTGCCCATACTTCTAGCTTGGAGACAGCCGTCCCTCCTGTTTTCACCCTAATGTTAAACAATTCAGTTCTTCCCTGTGTTCCTGATCCTTTT